CCCAGCAGCGCCATCCCACGCCGCAGCTGTGCCCTCGCACTGCGGAACCTCGAGCTTCACGGTTAAAGGATCGTCTCCGGCGTCTGTAAGGTCGCCAAGTACAAAGGGATGGCGCCCGTCGGGGCGCCGGAGTAGTGCGTCCGGAGGTCTCCCGAAGCCCTAGACCCTCTGCCATGCCCGACTGCAGCTGGCAGCGCCTCGGCCCTTGGGGCTTTCGGACGCTTAGGGCACCGGACAGGTCACTGGGGACTCGGCAACATGCCCTTGCCGTCTTTTCTCCCAGTTCGGTCGCCTGCTCTTCCCGGGACGGCACGGGGTCACAGTCGGGCGTGGAATACCCTGCAGGCGCCGAGTCCCGAGAGACTCCAATGGAGCGACTCTGGCCACCAACCGGCCAACCCAGAGTACGCCTCGCGCCCAGGGACCGCGTGGCTCCTGGCCGCCTGCCCCGCCGCTCGCAGCCCGAGTAGAGGGCGCCCTGCCCGGCCCGTGGTCCCCAGCCCCCTGGCTCGGCTGTAGCCTTGGAGGGCGACTGTGCCCGCCGAGCCTGCAGCTCCCCTGGGAGCCGGAGCCGGTCGCCTGCGCTCCAGGAGGAAGGCAGATTTGTTTGCCCCAAACCTCCTCACAGCTAGTCCCACCCCCGGAGCCAGCCGGGACCGACCTGGCGGCGCTGCCCCGCCTCCCCACGGGCTCAGGTTTCGATCCGGGGTTAAGTGATCTGATTGGGGGCTAGTAAGAGCGGCCCAGCGGACAGATCCCTTCGGGGCGGGCGCCGGGACCCCGGCTCACTGGCCCCGCGGGCGCCGCCTGCGCGCCCGGCGCCTCTGGCCTTGTGGGTGGTCTGCGGAGTCCCGGGCACTCACTGCCCCGAGCCGGAGCGCGCGGCCCGGCTCCGCTGGCCCAGCGCCGGGGTGGAGGGCGGGAAGGCGGAGAGTGCGTTCTCCTGGGACCTGGCTCGGAGGTTAGAGCTCCGGGGTCTGGGCGTGACTTAGGCGCCCACTGCACCTCGACTTCGGGGACCAGCGCGTTTCCCGCCGGCTGCACGAATGCGGGATCCCTCTGTAGTCGGACTCGGGGTCCTCCGGGACGGGGTCGGTCCTCTGCCACACCCCTAACCCCTTTCCGGTCCCTTGGCGCCCCGGCATCCTTCTCCGACGCGGAGTCCAGCCCCGCAGCCCGCCTGGGCCTCCCGCGCCCCCCGCCCGAACTGGGACCCCGGCAGCTTTGACTGTGGGCCTCTGCCCAGACCTCCGCGACCGACGCGTCCCCGGGCCTAACTGATCCGCCCGTCCCCCACGCCCAACACCCCAGCCCCCAGTGAGCCAGACGGGCAGGGAGGGGTCGCGCTGGGGCACCCACTGGGACGGCCTGTGGCGGCCGGGCCGCGCTCGCCGGGCGCCGGAGGAAGGGGGAGGGGCCGGGGGCGTGGGCCGGGCCCGAGGAGGGGGCCTGGGCCACGGGCCCCGAATGGCTTTACTGCTGTGCTGTGGCGGCGGCGCGGTGACAGCCTCGCGCCACCTGTCCCAGTGCCACCTGGTGAGCGTGGCGCGGCGGGGCCAAGCCCCTCCTCCAGTAGGCCCTCCTCGCCCCTCCCGAGCTGGGTCCCCCTCCGCCCGCTGTCCCGGCCGCGGCCCCCAGCGTGCTGACCCGCGCCACCCAGTCCTCCTCCTCTCAGGTTTCCGCCCGGCTGAGGCTGCGCTAGCTTTCGGGGTGATTCCGGCCTGACAGCAGCTCCAGGGACCGGTGCAGTGGCGCGGGAGCGCCCAGGCCACCATGCCGCGGTCGTTCCTCGTCAAGAGCAAGAAGGCGCACAGCTACCACCAGCCGCGCTCCCCGGGACCCGACTATGCCCTCCGCCAGGAGGACGTACCCGCGCCGGGCCGGGCAGGTGCGGGTGCTGGCGGGCCCCAGGGTGTTTCCAGGGCTGCCTACGCCCCGGCACCTCTCCCGGGAAACGGCCGGGCGACCCGAGGCCCCTTTATGGCTTTTGCTTTTATTTCTTACCCTCTGGGTTCCTCCCGGCCTGGTCACCCACGAGCCCCGCAGCGGCCTCCGCTCCGAGTCTGGGAGGAGAGAGGACGCGTGGGCGCCCCGGTTTGGGAGGCTTGACTTCGGAACCCTCCGGCCCAATCTGAGCCTCTCTCCCACCTTCTCACCCCAGACAGCACCTCCAGCGCGGGCGGGGCGGAGGCGGAGTCCGGCGGCCGTTTGTCCCCGGAGTCGCCGCTGACTGAGGCCCCCGACGGAGCCTCCGCGTCCCCGGGCAGTTGCGAGGACAGCGTCTGCGATCGGAGCTCCGAGTTTGAGGATTTCTGGAGGCCCCCGTCGCCCTCTGTGTCTCCAGGTAGGGACTCCCTGGGAGCTGGGGTGGGGGTCTCCGAGGACCCCACTTGTGCAGCGTGAAACCGGATAGCCGAAGGTCTTGTCGGGGGATTGGGCTTGTGCACCCAGGCAGGGCAGGGGTGGGTCCGGGCCGCTTTCGGCGCTCTGCGACTGGGACAGCTCGCCCAACGGATAAGTAGCCTTCCTCCAGTCGGCACGACCTTGGCCGCTGGTTCCTAACGCTTCTTTGCACGGAGCTGGCTCAGGACAGAAAAGTAAAGAAGGCCCTGGAACTGCAGCAGCGTGGACATTTCGTTTTCTCAGAGTCCATTGTATACAAAGAACTAGAGCGGTAGAGTAGACTCATCGTGTACATAGGGGCTGGGACAGACCTAACAACACAGAGACATAGAATCCAGATGTCGACCCACAAACATAACCGAGACCCTGGCAGTTTGAGGGAAAAGCGTGGCTGACTTTAAAAATTGAGCTGGAACGTTCCCGCGGAGGTGAGCCTGGCAGATCTGGGTGTCTGAGAGGGAAGGAGGGGCCCAGTATGAAATCTCAGTTTTCGGCTTATCGCTAGCGCCAATTGGGGGATTGTTTTATTTTTTGTCTGTCCTGTTGGCCCAGCTAAGGGGATCGGCCTCCGGGTTTCATTTCTAACCAGCAATAGAAAA